TACAATGTTCGAGATAAGGTCTCATCAAGGCCCTACACAGCTGCAGTAAGACAACCTTACTGCTGTACTCAAATGCCCTTGAAATGAAGGAAAATAAATAATGTACTGACCTAACTGCTTTCTGCACCCACAATATTACTTTCAGTGACTAGTGTACAAGGAGATCCAGATCCTTAGTTACCATTAGCCACTTGACAGGTCTATGTACACTGGTTGGAAGCCAGAAGTCACTGCCACACATGGACCACAGAAGAAAACAAAAGGGAGCATAAGTCCCTTTAATAGATCAACTTTTTCATCCAATCCCTTTTCAAATTGTAGGCTGCCATTCTATTCTTCCCCAACAAATTGCACATGATCACATCATCATTGCACTTCATCTGCCATGTGTTTGCCCATTCCTTCTACTTGTCTCAATCACCCTGGCGCTTTTTTTACATCATCCTCGCCACTCAGAATCCTATATAGTTTAGTGTCATCAGTAGAGTTGAGGGAATCAAATGCAATATTTGCAATCAAATTTTTGATATGTATTTTGAATAGCTGGAGTCCAAGCACCATTCCCTGCAATAGCCCACGAGCTGTCAGCTATCCCATTCTGAAACCATCTCCATCTATTATCCCCAAGCCAATAAGATTTGATTCTGTGCATAAGGCTTGGGAATTCATTAAAAATCTTTATGAAAATCCAAATGCACTGCATTCATTGCTTCTCCATAACAGATCCACCAGTCAGTTTCTCAAGTATGATTCACTCTTTATTAATCTATGTTGATTTTGTCTGTGCCCATTGCTTTCAGACCCAATAATTTCTCCAAAACTGTTTATTTACTAATTTCATTCCACTCCTTTTTCTCACCAGACATGACATTGCCAGGAAAATTTTCCCCTGGACTATGACCCCACTGTGGCACATCAGGCCACTGTATCAACAACAGTAACTGATTTCATTTCATCTGGTGATTTCCCAGTCCCCACTATGTCCCCAAGCTGATCGTCCCCAAGTCCCGCATAGCTCACTTCTACCTCCTTCTAAAAATCCACAAACAGGACTGCCCAGGCTGACCCATTGTTTCAGCCTGCTCCTGCCCCACAGAACTCATCTCTTCCTACTTTCACACAGTTTTTTCTCCCCTGGTCCAGTCCCTGTCTACACACATTCCATTATTCTTCCTGATGCTTTTTGCCAGTTTCAGAATTTCCAGTTTGCAGGCTCCTTACCATGGGCATGCAATCCCGTCACACATCCATCCCCCACCCAGATTATCTCAGGGCTCTCCGATTCTTCCTGAACCACCCCATTCTCCTCTGCTTGGCTAAGCTTGTCCTCACCTTCAACAATTTCCCTTTTAATTTCTCTCATTTTCTTCAGGTCAGAGGGGTGGCCATGAGCACCTGCATGACCTGCAGTTATGCCTGTCTCTTCATGTGGTACATGGAATATTTCTTGTTCCAGTCCTATTCTAGCCCTCACCCACAACTATTTCTCCGATATAATCAGTGCTGCTTCCTTCTCTCGTCTGGAATTTGAAAAGTTCATCAATTTTGCTTCCAGTTTCCACCCTGTCCTTCTTTCACCTGCTCTATCTCTGACTCCTCCCTTCCCTTCCTCAACATCTCTGATTCAATTTCTGCGGATAGACTAGCCACAAATATTCACTAGGAACCCACCGATTCCCACAGTTATGTGGACTATACAGGGAGGCAGGATACAAGGATGTCAAGACTTCATTCCATTCTCAGTTCCTTTGTCTTCATTGCATTCTTCTGATGAGGCCAACTTCAGCAAGGGAGCCTCTGAAATATCCATCTTCTTCCTCAATTAAAGATTCCCATGACTGTTGTAGACAGGGCCTTCAACTGGGTCTCACCCATCTCCCGCACTTCCGCACTCACTCCTTCTCTTCCATCCCACAACAGCAATAGGGTTCCCCTTATCCTTACCTATCAGCATCCATATCCAGAAGGTCATCAGCTGCCATTTCCGCCAGCTCCAGCAAGATGCCACCACCAGACATATTCCCCTCCCGTCCCTTGTCCACCTTCCACAGGGACCGTTCCCTCCGGAACACCCTGGTCCACTCCTCCTTCACTTCCAACACCCCCACAGTACCTTCTCTGCAACCAGTGAAGGTATAACACCTGGCCATTTACCTCCTCACTCTCCAAGGGCTCAAACATACCTTCCAGGTGAAGCAGCACTTCACACAATCTAGTCTAATGCATTTGCAGCTCATATTGTGGTCCCATCTACATTGGGAAAATGAAGTGTAGACTGGCTGACAACTTCACAGAACATCTACATTCTGACCACAAGAAAGATTGAGCTTCCAGTTGCCTACCACTTCAACACACCACCCATTCCCTGGCCAACATCTCTGCTGGAACACTACAGCAAGCCTGAGACAAAGTTCAGTGCCAGCTGGAAGAACAACACCTCATTTTTGACCTGGGGACCCTGCAGCCCTCTAGACTCGATATTGAGTCCAATAATTTTAGGGTCTGAACTCTCCTATGGCCTAGCCCTACCCCACAGCTGGCCTTGTTATCACTTACCCTGTCATTACACAGTACCTATTGTTAGCCATTAACACTCTCCCATTAGCAGCTATTCACCCTTCTAGCCAGATCGTTAGCAACTCCTTTGTCTGTCCAACTGTTCTTCTCTCTTTAGGCCCTATCCCAACTTATCATTTACTCCTTACCCCCTCTCCCAACCCTACTGTGGGGCAGCACGGTGGCTCAGTGGTTAGCACTGCTGCCTCACAGCACCAGGGACCCGGGTTCGATTCCAGCCTCGGGCGACTGTCTATGTGGAGTTTGCACGTTCTCCCCATGTCTGCGTGGGTTTCCTCCGGGTGCTCCGGTTTCCTCCCACAGTCCAAAGATGTGCAGGTTAGGTGGATTGGCTGTGCTAAATCGCGCATAGTGTCCAGGGATGTGTAGATTAGGGGGATGGGTCTGGGTGGGACGCTCCAAGGTTCAGTGTGGACTTGTTGGGCCGAAGGGCTTGTTTCCACGATGTAGGGATTCTATCTTCTGCATATAAACTGACATTTTCCCAGCTACCATCAGTTCTGAGAAAGGGTCGCTGGACCAGAAATGTTAACTGATTTTTCTTCACAGACATTGCCAGATCTGCTGAGCTTTTCCTGCAATTTGTTTTTGTTTCTGATTTACAGCATTCACAGTTGTTTCAGTTTTTGTTACGATTTTTGTTTTGTTTCATTTTCTTCTGCAGAAGAACCAATTTAATATCTGTTTTCCATTCTCCAATTCCAGACTATAATGAAGCTACACTTGTCTTCTCTAACCTTTCACATTGGCATACTTTTAGAAGTTATTACAGTTCACGCTTATAACCATTGTTAATATACTCTTCAGAAATCTGTCTTATGCTGCTTAATGATTGACCTTCCACAATCAAACAATCATAGAAGCATAGTCTTTACACTGTCAGTAGTACAACATGTTCTACATTAGTTCCACTTTCGTACAGGAGGCCCATAGCCACAAATGTTATGACACTTCATGTGCTCATTCAAGTTGATTTTAAATGGTTGTGAAGTTACCCACCACAACTAGCTTCTCAGGAAGTGCATTCCAGACCGCTAACATCCTCTTGGTGAAAAGCAATCCTGAAATCCTCTCTAAACCTCAAATCCTTCACTTTAAAGCTGTGCTCCCTTGTTCTTGGCTGACTATCCACCTTCTTCATGCCTCTGTAATCTTATACTTCAGAATTATTTCTCCCCCAACCTTCTCTACCCCAACACAAACAACCTGAGCTTATCCAACCTCTCTTCATAGCTGATTTGCTCCATCGCAGGGAATATCCTAATGAAGCTCCTCTGCACCCCCTCCAATGCAACCATATCCTTCCTGTAACGTGGCAACCTGAACTGCACACAGTATTCCTAACCAAAGTCCTTTATAGTTCTTATAAATTATGCCTCGATGAATACAGCCCATGCCTACAGTCCCCTATCCCTTCTCAGCTAACCTATTCACATTTCCAGTCTTTTTAAGGATCTGTGGAGAATCACCCTCTGAGTTTCCTCGTGTGCTGCTATTCATTGAGTACTTCCCTGTCCGGTGTCTTCTTTCAAGTTGCATCACTTCATATTTGTCAGGTTAAAATTCAATCTGCCATTGATCTGCCCATCCAACAATTTCATCTATAGCTTCCTATAACATAAGATCTTATTCCTCACTACCAACAACCAAGCCAATATTTGTGCCAAACACAAACTTATCACACTTTCCCCCACCCCCTCAAAATTCACATCTACATTATTTTTAAATACCACAAATAAGCGACACAGCACTGATCCCTGTGATACACCAGCGGACACTGGTCTCTAGTCACACAAACAGCCTTCTACCACCATTGGATGCAACTTGTGACTAGTTTAGTTTAGGAAATCTGACTGGGATGGAGGAGTTGGACCGAAGGGTCTATTTCTGTGCTGCATGACTGTGACTGCAGTTACTGGAGGAGACTGCAGTATAGGTACATTGTTGAGACTGAAGCAAGTTACAGAGATAGAGGTGGTAGTCAGGATTGGAGCATCTTTCAAATATATGGAGGGATTGTTGGGAGGGGAGGAGGTTACAGAGATAAGAATAGCAGTTTATAGGAGTCAGAATGATTGAACACACTGGTCCACGAGACACGACATAAATACAGTGCTAGAGAAGGCACAACAAACAGGACGTTCCCCAACTTTGTTACCACCCTATCGTGGGGATATGTTTTCACCTCTGTTGTACTGGTCCTCACCAAGACAGCACAGGCCTGGATTGATAACTGCCAACTTCCTATGCTGTCCTAGGAAGGCTCAGAACAAAGCGTAAAGTAGATCTTCTGAGAGGGGATGGTGGTTGAGTGTGAAATCTTTTGTACTCCCCCTTCAGCACTGTATCTATGTCATGTCTTGTCGGCTTTTGTTTCGAGCCTCCTAATTGCTCTCTGCTTTGTTCACCGAGTGTGATCTTACCTGGTTGCAGGATTTATTGAAGACTCCAGATCTCGCTGCCCTTTGTTTCTCTGGTTGACCAACGTCTTCAATGAAGTGATGAATGAGACAGGAGTTGAGAATTCTGCGGAGTCAGGAATTCCCCATGTATCTGCAGGAGACGGAGTAATATGCAGGCTCAGGAACTGGACTGATGCAGTGAGGAATACAGATGTAGAATGTTATTGAGTCCCACAGGGATCTGGAAAATCCCATTCTCCATCACTGGCCTGTGCTGCTTCATTCTCTCTGGAGTGGAGAATTCTGCTGTCTCAGGATCTCCGAGTGGCTACATGAAAACAAAGGCAGACAGAGGCAGCACAGTGAGGGATACCATGTGCAGAGATACTGAGTGATACTGCCGGAGGGCAGGAAGATTTCAGGAACAAACAATGGTGCAGGGAAAAAAAAAGTGGTATTGATTCATAGAGCACTGGCCACTCAGGCAAAGTGAGTCCTACATTGGGATGGGCTCCACTGGTGTGGTGTTGGCACCAGTGTCCTGGCCAATCACATAACTAGGATTATAGACAGGGCTTTAAACTGAGAGGAGGAGAATGCAGTGTTCAAATGAAGCAAGATTTCCAAATCCAAAGCATAATGGTGAATCATCAGAACAGCATTATGACATAGCTGATGACAAGCAGAAAGGAGCAGATCTTAATGAAAATTCTATAACTGAAAATAAGTGTGATAGGAAATAGTGGTCAAAGTAAATGAAAACACTATTTATCTCAATGCACAAAGTATCTGCAATAAGATAGACCGACCTGTGACACAGAGGTCAACGATTAAGAGTGAATCACTATCAGGGAGACGTGGTTACAAGGGGGACAAAAGATGCAAAAATCAATATTTGAGGAACACGACGTTGCAGATAGACAAATAGTATGGGAAAGCAAAAGGAATAAACCCGATAGCTAGAGATAAAAAAATCTTTACCAAGGAAGGAGTTGGTCACTGATTATGAAGTGGAATCAGTGTGAACACAATATAGCTGTTGTTAAGTATTGGAAAACACAAATGGGAGAGCTGTTAACAGTGCAATGGCATTGGGCCTGTAAAACACTGCATCAAATAGGAAATTATTGGAAGTTGTAACAAAGAACTGGTCTAATTGTGGGGGACTTCAATCTTGAAATAGTCTGGTACAATCATGCAGGAAAGATTGCCCTTGAGTTGGGAGTTTGTAGAACGTATTTTGTCAGCATTTCTCAAACAATAAGTCCCTCATCAGCACCACCCTCTTCCCTCGCACTGTATGGGCTGGAGGTGGTTAGAGAGAAGAGTGATGTTCAGTAGCTGGAGGGGCTTACAGCGAGGGTATACTGTAAGGACTGGAGAATGAAAGAGTTTCACTTAAGGAGAGATAGGTGAGTATTTGGCACAGAGCAATACAGAAATGGATGATCCCAAGCTCCCTATTCGTCATTCCCTCAGTGAGCTGCTCTCATCCAGTCTGGTGTCAAGCCCCATATACAAAGACCTTGAAGTTTCCCAGCTGTTACTGCTCAGGTCCTGGTTCACTAACCTCTGAACGAGTTGGTGAAGTAACATCGGACAGATATTTATATCCTACAGACTGTCTAGAAATACTATGTCATACATAGCAGAGGTATTAACAAATAAAAATGTGCACCCAGATGCCCTGGTTTAACAATCGCATTAATGACAGCCTGTAGAAAACAGAAGAATCCATGAAATTTCACTGCATGGGTCAAAGTCAATGCAGAAGTTTCACACTCCCTGCTTGGTAAACAATCCTGAGGTCTCTCAAACTACCAGAAAGAAAATAACTTATTCCAAATGAAGGCTTGGTTGAGGTGAGCTCTGGTCAGTCATGTTGATCTGGAGGTCACTAGATGCATGGAGAGTTTTCTACCAAAGCAGTATCAGGCACACAAACAGAATGGGCAAATAGATTCACATCTGAACTCATCTCCCAGCCTGTGAATCTGAAGCTGTGCTCAGCCATTCTAGTAATGAGCTTCAAAATCAACTCGGCAAGATCCCAGGCTTGTGTATTTGCAACTGCAAACTATTTTGCTTTGGAAATCTGTGGTCTGATCAGGAAAATCCGTGATTCAACTTTGTGCCCCAGTGTATCAAATTATAACATCCCCTAGATTCCACAGCACTTCCTACCTCTGTAACACCCTGCAGGTACTACAATTCCTCCTACCTTCAGGAAAGGAGGGTTGTACTGACTGCAGCAGGTTTCACAAGTAGGGAGGATTGTAGCGACAGAGAGATTACAGGAACACAGTAGTGAGGGTTGCAGCACTCCATTGTGATAGGGAGGCTTGGACCGCTGAAGATGTTTGTTGGGACAGGAGTGGTTTACATGGGAAAGGAGTGTCATGACTGGAGGAGAAGAATAGCGAGATAGCACATGGTAATGGCGATGGGAAGGGTATGCACTGGACGTGGCTATACAGATAGTGAGGCTTTGAATGGCTAAGGGAGTTAAAGAAAGGTGGCTTTGAGTCTGAAAGATGTTACAAAGATAGGGAGAGTTGTAGGTTTTAAGTATGCAAAGGATTTGTAGGGACGGCAGGTGGTTACAGATATAAGAACTGTTGTAGGTGTTAAGAGGGATTGAAAACACTGGCCCACAAGACATGTTCGAATACAGCATCGAAGAGGGAACACAGAACAGAAATATCCCATGTGTCCTTACCACCTGCTGGAGAGAGGTAGTACTGAGCCTCAGTAAGATAGCACGGGCCCAGATTTATAAGAGGTCTTCCTTTGCTGTCCTCATTTGGTTCAGTGCAGAAGAGGTGAAAGCAGACCTTTCACACCAGAATGGTCATGGAGCCTGAGATCTTTCTGCTCTGCGTTTCCTCTTCAACACCGTACCTATGTCATGACTTATGGGTCTACAAATTCAAGGCCTCACAGACTCCTCCCTGCAGCGTTTGCTGTTTTCTTACTTCACTCAGGATTTATTAGAGGCTCCAAATCTCTCTCCATTTACTCTGGCTGACCAACCGTCTTCAATGAGGTGATGGACGAGACCAGAGTTGGGAATTCTGTTGCACCAGGAACTCCATAAATAGCTATAGAAGACAGAGAAAGAGACAAACTCAAATTAGACTGATGCAGTGAGCATACATGTAGAACGGTACTGGATCGCACAGAGATCAGGAAAATCCCAGTCTCCAACCCTGGCCTGTGCTCCTTTACCTCTCTGGGGTGCGGAAATCAGTTGGCTGATGATCTGGTGAAGCTGCAAGAGTGAGAGCTGCTAACAGAAGCAGCAATTAGACCCACACAGTGAGGGATACCACCAGAGTGCAGGAAGATTTCAGGATCAAACAATTGTGTAGGAAAAATGGATTTTGATTCACGGTGCACTGGAATCAGTGCTCAGGGATGAGAAATCATAGATCATAGAATCTCTACAGTGTGGAAACAGGCCCTTCGGCCCAACAAGTCCACACCAAACCTCAGAGCATCCCACCCAGACCCAAACCCCTATAACCATTAGCGGGACAGGCAATGGCCTGGTGGCATTATCGCTAGACTGTTAATCTGGAAACTCAGCAAATGTGGACCCTGGTTCGAATTCCAACATGGCAGATAGTGGAATTTGAATTCATAATTTTGCAAAACGTGGAATTAAGAATCGACAAAATGACCATGAAACCGTTGCTGATGTTGTTATGAAAAACCCATCTGACTGACTAATGTCCTTTAGGGAAGGAAATTTGCTGTCCTCACCCAGACTGGCCTAATGGACTCCAGACACACAGCAATGTGGTTGCCCTCTTAAATGTCATAGCAAGCCACTCAGTCCCAGGGCAGCTAGGGGTGGGCAATAAATGCTGGCTAGCCAGAGACACAATATCCCAAGAGTGAGTTAAAAATAAAATCCATTGGGAGGGGCTCCACTGGAACCATGCTGCAACCAGTGTCCTGGTCAATCATGTAACGAGGTTTATGGACAGGGTTTTAAACTGACACAGGGGAGGCAGGAGCAGGGTTCAGGTGAAAGGAGCATTCCAAATCCAAAAAGAAAAGGTGTAGCATCAGAACAGCATGGTGATACGGCTGAAGAAAGGAACAGGAAGCGACATATTTTAACTAAATTTGTACATCAGCGAATAGGTTTGTAACAGGAAAGTGTGGTTAAAAAGTAAATTAGAATTTTTTTGAATGGAAAACATATTTACAATAAGATAGATGGACTTGTGACAAAGATAAATTACATGGATTTAGTCGCCAAAGAGATGTGCTTACATGACAAAAGGTGACAAATTAGTATTCAATGGTACACAACTCAGGCAGAACAGGAAGCAGGATGCGTACCTTGACAGTAATGGATAACAAAGGCATTACAGAGAAAGGATTTGGCCTTAGAATATGAAGAATCAGTTTGAATGCAAATTCTGGGTAAGAAGTGTCAAAAACATAAGTAGGAGAACAGATTTTAGGTCCCCTAACAACATTTCACTGCTCATTAGTGCATTAAACAGGAATTCAGTGGAATTTGTAACAAAAGGAAGTGTGATAATTTTGGGAGACGTCAACCTTCGTATCATCTGGAACAGTCACACTGGCAAGAATAATATGCACAGAGGAGTTTGGAGAATTTTTTGTCAGTGTTTCTTTGCACAACACTTTGTGCAACTGACTAGGGATGTAACTATCTAAGATCAACCACTATGTGATGAAGCTGAGTGAGTGAGTGAGTGATATCACACTAAGAGATCCTCTGTGAAATTGTGATCAGGTGGAATTCAAAGGCATTATGAAGTTTTAAAGTGACAATGTAAAGGACGAACAACAATCGAAAACAGAAACAAAGCCAATTACATGAGTTTTGGTGCGGAACTGACCAGAGTAAACAGGCTGAAATGTACAGTTGAAAATGAACAATGGAAAACATTTGAAGGAACAATATAAAATATTCAAAGGGACATTCCATTGAAACAGACAAAACTTCAGCAAGAATTCCCTGCCTGTGCCTCACTCGGGACATAAAGGATCATATCCAATTAACAGAAGCTTAGAAGGGCACCTAAAAAAAAATTAACAATACTGAAGAAAGAAGGTTTTTGAAAACGACAAAGGGTGACAAAAACATGGAAGCAGGTGTTAAAGGGATCGCAAGGGTTCTTTCAGCGGGAGGAGTGCAGTAAGAGGAAACTTTTTTAGCGTTTAAATGAGATAATAGGAATAGGAAGAGTTGAAGGTGCTGGATATGAGAAGTGTATTACAGAGAGTGCCAAGGGTCTGAATGGTGTTACAAAGTCAAAATGAATTGTTGCAACTGAAGGGATTTGCTGAGGTAGGGAGAAAATATGCACTTTTATTTATTCATTCATGCGATATGGGTGTCACTGGCTGGACCAGCATTCATTGCCCACTGTCCAGAAGACAGCTCAGAGTCAGATGCTGTGGGTCTAGAGTCACATGTTGGCCAGTGTAGATAAGAATGTCAGATGTCCTTCCCTAAATGACACAAGTGAACCAGATGAGCTTTTCCTGGTGATCCACAATCCTTAGTGGCCTCACCAATGTCTTGTACAGCCACAACATGACATCCAACTCCTATTCTCAATGCTCTAACCAACGAAGGCAAGCGTGACAACTACCTTCTTCACCACCGTGTCTACCTAGACAGCATTTTCAAGGAACTATGTACTTGCAACCCTAGGTCTCCCTGTTTGGGAGCACTGGCCAAAGATCTACCATTAACTGTAGAAGTCCTCCCCTGGTCTGTCTGACCAAAATACAACACCCTCACAATTACCTACATTAGGTACAAAATGATCAAAGGTATAGATAGAGTGGACAGCCAGAGACTTTTTCCTAGGGTGGAGGCACCTATTACAAGGCGGCATAGTTTTAAAGTGAGTGAAGGTAGATAAGGGGAGACGTCAGAGGTAGGTTCTTTACTCAAAGATTGGTAGGGGCATGGAATGCATTGCCAGAGAGGGTAGTGGAGTCGGCCTCATTAGGGGCATTTAAGCGGCTATTAGATAGGCGTATGGATGACAGTATAAGGTAGGGGTAGAGGTCAGATAGACCTTGGGTTTAGGGTAAAAGTTCGGCACAACATCGTGGGTGAAGGGCCTGTACTGTGCTGCACTGTTCTATGTTATATTAAACTCCCTGTTATTCATCAGTCCACTGACCCAGCTGACCAATATCCTGTTGTATTCTTAGATAACCCTATTCACTGTCCACTATGCCAACAATTTTAGTGTCATCAAACTTACTAACCATGCCTCCTATATTCTCATCCAAAATTTTATATAAATGACAAACAACAGTGGACCAGCACCAATCCTTGCAGCACACCACTGGTCACAGACCTCCAGTCTGGGAAACAACCCTTTACCAATATCCTCAGTTCCTACGATTGTGACAATTTTGTATCAAATCATCTGGCTGTCCCTGGATCCCATCTGATCTAAACTTATTAACCAGTCTATTATGCGGATTCTTGTCGAAGGCCTTGCTAAAGTCCATGTAGATAAAATCTACCAGTCAGTTTTCATCTATCTCTTGGTCACCTCAACAAAACCTCCATCAGGTTCGAGAGACATGATTTTCCATGCACAAAGCTATACTGGCTATCGCTAATCAGTCCTTGCCTTTCCAAATATCCTGGCTCTCAGAATCTCCTCCAACAACTTAGCACCACTGATGTCAGTCTCACTGGTCTGTTGTTTCCTGGCTTTTCTTTGGAGCCCTTAAACGATGGGACAACATTAGCCACCCTCCAGTCTTCCTGCACTGCACCATGGCTGTCAGTGAGATAAATATCTCTACTAGGGGTCCCACAGTTTCTTTCCCAGCTTCCCACAATATCACTTGATCAGGTCTTGGGGATTTATGTGTTTTAAGACCTTCAGAACCTCCTGTTGTCTATTGTGGACTCTTTTCAAGACATCACGATTTAGTTCCTGAAGTTCCAGTAAATACTGACGCAAAGTATGTGTTTTGGATCTCACCCATCTCCTATGATTCCACTCAGACAACCTCGTTGATCTCTAAAGGACCCATTGCCTCCAGTGTTAGCCCCTGTTGAAACTTGTCAAAAGGCTCCTGGAAATTCAAATAAACCATATCCCCCTACCACCACTCCCCTGCCATACCCTTATCTCTTCTGCCATTTACAGCCACACCAAAAAAAATATAAAATCCAACAGGTTCATCAAAAATATTTTCCTTAAATAAAATTGTGCGTCTTCCATTGTTTCTAAGGATCCAGATATTGTTTATTGTCATATCCTTTACAATAAAATTCCAGCATTTCCCTAGTTATTGTCGGGTTAACATTGTTTAGTTTCAATCCTTGTGTATCAATCTGAAAAAAGGTAGTTTACAGGTTCAGCAGATAATAGAAAAGGTAAATCAAATGCTGGCATTTATTACAAATGGAATGGAGTCGAAAAATAGAGGTCTTGCTAAAACCATGCAAGCTTCACCACACCTAGAATATTATGAACAGTACCTGTTCCTGAAGGACAGATATTCCTGCATTGGAGGCATACCAGAGAGGGTTCACTTGGCTCAACATGGGAATGGAGGGATTTTCTAAGAAGAGGTTAAATAAATTAAGCTTGAACTCATTGGAGTGTAGAAGAAAAAGAGAGAAATTTAATGAAACACCCAAGACTCTTAGGAGTTTTGACAGGGTAGATGCTGGGAAGTTAGAAAATAGATCTGTACAACACAGCAACAGGCTCTTCAGCCCTGCATAGTTCTGCCAACCATGATGCTATTCTAAACTAAGATCATCTGCCCGCACATAATCCATATTCCTCTATTCTCTGTCTCTTCCAGTTTAGAGAGCTGGACCATCCCAGCTGTTCACACTGAGAATCACAGCATGTTAGGATAAAATTAAAACTAAACATCCTAATGATTGTAAGAGGCTTTGAATGAATTTGAATGCTCAGCAAGTTGAACTTGAGAGTGATCTGAAGTCACTCCTCATAGGCATGTCTTCAGCTGGAGATGTAACAAGCAGTGCGTCTTCACCATAAACACAGCACTGGGTCTCCCCAGACATCTCTCAGATAGATCCATGCTGTAGCTAGGG